TTCCGCATAATGTACAAGGAGAATAATATAACTTATCAGATAATGAGGGGCTTTCGGTAGCTTTAGTAAGCATTTTAAAATTAAGAACCTGGTAAGTGGCTCTACGGATAGTTTTCAAACAGGCCTAATTCTTAGCTACTATATTGCAAACATCGTGTAAACTTCTTCAAATTTCGAGTTTTCCAATATACAAAGAGCTTTTTGTTTGTTGAATTTCACGAAAAGCTACTCAAGGGCTGTTTGTGCTAGCCGTCCCTAATTTAGAAATGATAGACTAGAGAAAAGACGGCTAGTCAACACTACCCACTGCCAACTCTTAGGCTACTCTTTACCAACGAAATGTGGGATTGACTGAAACACCATAATTCCCTCACGGCTGAAAGGGCAAGTATGACTAGTGATGAAATATGAAAGTAATAAGCCAATATCACTTTTCATGTACCTGGTACTACAACCGGTTTGCAAATAGGTAAATTTTAAGATCATGTGATGTAAGCCTCGTGTAAATTTCTTCAAATTATGAAGCAAAAACGTGTGCCAGCTATAGTTTTGTCATAGCTGTCACACCTTTATATTGACTTCAAACATAGCGGTGCAATAAGCAATATATGTATTACAGGTCGTTGCAAAAACGTATGAAGTTAAGGATTGCAGGACGGCAAGCCTAGCATGAATTGTCAAAATAAAAACTATGAAATTAACAATTGCGATATCTTAGGCCTAGCACGAACTATAAAAACAAATCTGTAAAGTATAATTTGTATAAATAAATAACAACAACAAAAACACTTTCTGTAGTATTTATATTATATATCCAGTAACCGACCTTATTTGTTTTATTAATATCTGTTCTGCAATAAATATGAATTTTCGTAATAAAAAAAGTTTAGAAAAGCAAATCCTGATATTCTTAAGCTGGAACTCATACGTAATGAAGGTTTCGCGAAATTATAGGAATGGAAAATTTTGAAAAACGTTATTATTTAACGGATCATATTAGTTAAACTGGATCCAAAGTTTCATCAACCCCAATGTTATCTCGAATGTACTTTAGAAAGCGGGAGGTGGGGATCAGCTCAAAACATATATGAAAAAGCACATGCATCATGTGACTATTTTGTAAGTTAAAGAAGATTAATATTTTTCCGTGGTAAATATCATATACAGAGAATATTCTTCTGAAAAGGAAGGTTTAAAATCAAAAACATTGCTAGTACAAGGTACTAACAAATTAGGTATGATTAGTTCTTAGTTACTTTCAAAACATAAATACTTAAACAAAAGTATTCTTAGAGCCGTAGTTTCTGAATATAGGTAAGAATGTTTGCTTCTTGTTAATCAAACAAACAAATATATATATATATAAACTAGCTCTTGATCCTCGGCGATTTGCTTAACGGTTTCGACTAAAATTGACAACTAACGGATCGGTGATGACCTGGTATCTTAAGCCTAGATTTCTGGCGGTTCTTGAACCAGTCCTAGCATGTCAGCCTAGGTTTTTAGCAGTATTTGAATCAGGCCTAGCATGTAAGCTTAAGCTTCTAGCTATTCTTGAACCAGGCCTAGCATATAAGTCCAGGTTTGTAGTGATTATTGAATACATTTGTATTTAAGTGAAGTTTGGATTAATATGTGTGAATACCGTGAAAATGAATCCGTTATATAGTGAGTGATAAACATAAGTACAAACTGTTTTCCTGTTGGCTGATTATCTACATATCCATGACTATCCTTTTGGTATATCTGGGGAGCTTATTTGTACAAACTGTTTCCTTGTTGGCTGTTGATCTACATATTCATCACTATATTAAAGATTTGGGATATCTGGAGAGCTTATTTGTACAAACTGTTTCCTTGTTGGCTGTTTATCTACATATCCATCACTATATTAAAGATTTGGGATATCTAGAGAGCTTATTTGTACAAAATATTTCTCTGTTGGCTGCTAATGTACATACTCATGGCTATCCTTTTAGGACACTTATGTACCTTTGATTTTTATAGAGTGCTGAACCTTTTAATATCCGATCTTCCACTATGTAATTATATTAACATTGTTCCAATTTATTCTAACTATAAATAAGACACTTTAGAGAACGCTGTACAGATTTGGATATCATTAATGTATATTTATGTATAAAAATACAAATATATGCATTTTTATCAGTTAATAACTAGATCCTTACATCTAAATATAATAATTTTGAAACTATATATATATATATATATATATACACACACATATATTCTTATTGTATTATAAGCTCGCTGTAATTAGATGTGATTTGAAAATTTATGCAATTTTTATAAATTCGTTTATGTTCGGTACTTTTGCACATGTACTTATTCACTTATGTGTTACCTGTCTTAAACCTTGCATCTTCTTGTGTCACCAGAAAGTGTTTGACATCATTAATCACATATTCTTATCACGTTCACACCTGAGCATTAAAGTATGCAGAAAAATAAATCTTGTTTTAACAATTCCTAGATGGGAGGGTGTAGTGATACATTAAGGACTTCTCAAGCAATAGTACTATTTGCGTGGATGCACCCGCTTTTGTAGAAGGATGTGCTAAAGATAAAACCAGTATTAGATAATCGGTATTTTATATTTTGCGAGAAGAAAAATAAAAGTCTCAATAGTGTATTAAGGTGCAAAAATATTTCTGGCAACATTGTGGAGTGTATAAACTTTATATATAATATAATGTATACTGAGGGAATTTTTTTATTATTTTAACGAATAATTTTGAATACGTATTAATGTTGATTACTAACTGGTTAATTAGTTTTAAAATATGGATATTTGATATAACGTAATATTAACTTAAACACTGTTTAAAACCATTCAGGTTCCATCTACAGAAGTTTAACGTATTTCTCGAGGTGGTCACGTGACTTTTTTTTTTTTTTCATTTTAAGACGTACGTAGTTGAAGGCTTGTTGTTACTAACGGCGAATCAAATAAAGATACCAGCTAGTTATTTATTAACTCACTGTTCTCTTTTGAAATATACATGTTAAATCTGTGTTTCGAAATATATTAAGTACGTTTTATGTGTTTGTGTGTGTTACAGTGTTATCTTATAACCAGCTTCATTTTTTAATGATACCAATTATGATGAGCAGTCTTTCAATGTCAAGCGAGTGACAATGGTAAGTCTATTAGGAAATGATCAAATGATTATTTTAAACTTTTCCTCTCTCTACATACTACTGGTAGTTTAAGCCATCAACAACATCATGACTTGTTTGTCACGAAAATGGTTTAAATTTGAAATATTGTTCTTATTTACTAAGATTATACTCCATAAAATGTGATTTTTCACGACTTTTCGAATTTCTTATTTCATGCGAGAGAGAGAGAGGCGAGGGCGGAAATAACTTGTAATTTTGCTCAATGCAATATGATTGTTATAATTTCAGTTTGTCGAGAAAGTCCTGAGGATATGAAGAGTTGAATTATCAAACTTTAAAATATCCCTTCTTGTCTGGCTGAATTTCAGTGGTTATTAATACAACTTAACTCAAATTACACCTCTTGTTGTCTGGTTGAATCTCGGTAGTTATTAATACAACTTAACTCAAACCCACAGCTGCCTACCTTGGTACATATCCTTTCTTCTCTGTACCACGATATACCAGAGATGTACCCACAGCTGCCTACCTTGGTACAGATCCTAACATGTTAGTGTTAAGGAACTACCACATTTGTTAATGTTGATGAACTACCATATATGTTAGTGTTAAGGAACTACCACATTTGTTAATGTTGATGAACTACCATATTTGTTAATGTTGAGGAACTATCACATCTGTTAGTGTCGAAGCATTAACGCAGATGTTAGAGTTTAGTTACTACCACATACTAGATGTTGTCATAAAAAAAGATATCCGTGTCCTGTCTGACATAACTACTTTATTACATATGTTATAAAGCGACATCTCTATGTGCTGTCTGACATAACTAATTTATAGCATATGTTATAAAGCGACATCTCCGTGTCCTGTCTGACATAACTAATTTATAGCATGTGTCATAAAGCGAATTCTCTATGTGCTATCTGATATAATCAGTTTACAGCATTTATAACGAAGCGAAATTTTGTCCAAAAAACGTTTCTGGAACCTTCAGTATCACGAGCTCCTATTCCTACTGTCCTATTTATTTATTTATAGTATACTTTATTATGATTGACGACATTTTACTGCTCCTCTTATCACTTACGCCATCATAAAATTTCCTGGTAATCTTTACATATTTCTATAATAATATTTGTTGGTTAGTTTTCGTGATTATTTCTGTCAGTTGCTTAGTGGTTAGCGTGCTAGATTAAGGATCTGCTCGCCTTGTTCGAGTCTTGTGAACGTTAAAAAAACAACACATGCTCCGCACTTTGAAGGTTTATGGTAAGATTCGCTATTTGGTTAGACAAGAGAATCCTAAGAATAATGGCGGTTAGTGCTGTTGACTAGATGCCTTCCATCTAGTGTATCAGCTCAAAATTAAGGACGGCTACCCCAGATACTCTTTAATAGCTTTGCGCTAATACACGAAAAAACAAACTGTTAGTTTCACATATACTGGTTCTTTAACTATTTAATTATTTTAATTAGATTAAATGAAACAGCCCATTTGTTGATAACAGATAAAAAATTCATAACAGCAGTCATAAATAATGTGAAAAGTAAAAGTTTACCAGATGTAATTGTCATCATAGCAATAAAAATATTTTACATTATAGAGTAAAACAGAATAACCACTAATATATTACACAAAAGAAGATTAATATGAGCCACCACCAGCCATTAATGTGTATCAACAACAATATTGGATGACAACCTATCTGAGAGATGACACTACTAAAGTGTGTTTGATACGACACGATTAAAGCTATAGTATCATTTAAGTGATCTAATATTTCTAAGCATTTTCTGTTCTTTGTTAAAATCCTTTGTTTTACCACTATTTTTACTTTTCTTCCTTTCTTTAGGAACATACTGGAGGAACGTGTGAGCAGGATGAAGAATTAAATGACATTCAAGTACGAATCATGCCAAACAGAACACCTTCCGGTGATCTGCATCGTCCTAGTTTGAGCCTGTCGAGGTCTAGTTTAAACAGTCCAATGCCTGTTGTTACTAGTGTCAAGACACTAGCTGAACGTGGTATTGGGACGAGGACTATTGTTACTATGTCTCAGCCTAGTCATAATTCCGAGACAGAAGCAATTCTGTCTACTGAGACGCCGAGTACAGTAAGACAGTCTCCTGGAAACAATAGCGTGGTTCGGATATCAGTACTTTAATGTAATATCAAACTGGTGAAAACTGACCGTCAACATCTTCCAAGTGAAGATGTGATCCCGGTGGAGAGACACGGCAGTAGGGGTACTGTGTTTCTACTATCCTTACCTCTCTGTGTCACGTTCTACCAGAGATGTAATATGGTATAGTTCATCAACATTAACAAATGTGATAGTTCCTTAACACTAACATATATGGTAGTTCATAAACATTAACAAATGTGATAGTTCCTCAACATTAACAAATATGGTAGTTCCTTAACAATAACAAATATGGTAGTTCCTCAACATTAACAAATATGGTAGTTCATCAACATTAACAAATGTGGTAGTTCCTTAACACTAACAT